GATCCTCACATTGACCATATATTTTATATTAGAAGTTAAACAAAGCTTGAATTAAAGGTTTGTCTACACGTTTCTCCAGTTCACGAACTTGTCTTGTTCTGCGTAGGCATTTGCGTTGGAACGTAAGAGACAATGCATTGTGTGAGCTATGTTTGATTCCTAACATAAAAATTTGCTGTTCCTGTTCATTATATATATATACTTACACAAAACATAACCTAAGTGTGTGTATATGTATTTCTGTGTTTATTTCCAGAGCATCTTCCTTACTGGTATGTAATATAACTCTCGTGTTTTTATTTATATTTTTTACCCAGTACATGGAAATCATTACGATGGACCAGAAGTCAAAACACCTCACTCAATTAAAATCAATCTTTGTTTTCCTTGACATGTTTACCTGTACGGACTTCACTATAAGTTTCTTTTAAATATATTTAAATTTGATTAACTCGTTTTATGAGTGGCTGTACCAAATTCAATAAGAATGTTGTAAACAAATTTCTCTCTTAACTAAATCATAGGATAACCTGAAGACGGAGATAGAGTCCCATCTCCGAAACGTCGTTTTACGTTTTATATTTACTAACGATGGATAATATCCAAGTAAATTTTTATTCAATTGACTCTTCACCATCGTCAAGAAGTTTTAGATTGGATATAAACAGCTGATAGAGTCCAATTGTACTGCCATTTTATCTCAAATATCTGATAAATTCAGAGTACCTGATGAATAGCTTGCCTGTTTATTACGTTGAAATCCACACTGAATATCCCCAGTAATTTCATCTACATAATCATTAGTTAACATTGTCCCTTTATAGTTATTACAATAAACTATACAGATTTGTAAGTTAACAGATTCATTACACTGCTCTGGCAATTATTACTTACTCCAAACAGAATTAATAATATGAGGTTCTCAGAGCATGGAATGTGATCTCTACGCCATCAAATACAACTGTAAAAAAAGAAATCTTTTAAACCCACGTACATTTAATGGCTGATAAAAATAATTCTTCTGCCATTTAAAAACACTGTAGGCATCTGCAAGCAAATCAACATTCTCATTTTCCATGTACGTAAATATCAAAATATTTTGTGACTGACTCTGTTTCAAAGACCCTCCCTCTTTAAAGTATCAACAGGGAACAGAGAGGAGGAGAAGAAGGCGGAAGTAAGGCGAGTAAATACGATCCAGTCGATAAACAAATCGACTCTTTCGCCAGTAGGCGTTACCTTCGATTAAGGCTTATCTTATCATTGCTGCATAGATAGATTGCTTATCTGAAGGTAAGATCAACACCTGTTAATCGTCCATGTTTGATATCATCGTCATGTTATTGGAAGACCAGTGTGTACGTCTGAGCGAGCTCCGAGTTGAGAGAATCCTCTGTGAAACCGATAAAGAAATGTTATTGGTCCTTATGGGACCTAGGCCCGCGGTTTGAGCCATGTCCTGTACTGTTTATGAAGAGGGATTACAGAGAAATATATTGAAAGTTCAGCTCAGGCTTGCGAAATTAGGAGTTCGGCACATACCCATATAAAATTCGCTAAAGAAATTTTAGCGCAGAATCCACAATGAAAACTTTTATCGATATTAATCGAGTAGTTTCGGAGACAAAATATGGTGGTGAACCGACGGGAAGACACAATTTTATGCAAAAAATACATCTTTCGTCCCAGTCATAAAAAATCAAATAAACACACAACTTCTAACCAACAAATTTACATTTGAATAAAAATTTCCTTGGATATTATCCATCGTCTAGTAAAATATAAAACGTAAAACGACGTTTCGTAGATGGGACTGTATCTCCAGGTTCCTACACAGTTGGGTCCACTAGATAGAGCTAATCCCTATCTCCGGAGATAGAGTCCCATCTACGAAACGTCGCTTTATATTTTATATTTTACTAGACGATGGATAATATCCAAGGAAATTTTTATTCAAATGACTCTTCACCATCGTCAAGAAGTTTTAGATTTGATAAACTAATTTACATGTTTTCACGGCGATTAAAACCGTGTTAAGTTCTGAGTTGTAAAATTCTTGGTATTTTGAAATTTGTGAAGAAAAGGGCGTAAAATGGGAAAGTAATGGGGGGGGAAATCTGACTTTTAAAAATGAAAAAAAAGTTTATTAGATCATTTCAAATTTTGAGTAAAAGTAAATTTCACGGATCTCAACACCTTTAATGTCGTGTGATACTACAATGACCACATAAAACAACCACTTTTAACAAACAGAGACGCGTTACGGTCCTCACAAGGACCATTTTGAGTGCTCAATTCTTACATATTTAGTTCAGATGCAACACTTAAAGTCCACATATTGGACAACCCCCGACACGCCATCACTTTTTATCAGGCCCGCTTAAGATTTTACAATTTTTTAAATACACTAGCCTCTATGTCGGACTTGTCAACGACTGGTAATAATTTCCTTGACATGTAAATATTACGGCCCGCGGCCATGATTAAAAAACTAGATTCGGCTCGAGGCTACTCAAATGTTTCCCATGCCTGTATTAAATGTTGATACGTCATTATATTTCCGTTCTAATTTACTAGCTCCAAGGTGCAGAGCCCTTGTTGATATGCGAACAGTTAGTTCAATTGATCAAGAAATTCTCCATATTTTATGGAACCCGAAAATGAACTGCCGTATTCACAAGTGTCCGCCGATAGTCTCTATCTTGAGCCGGATGAATCCAATCCACACCTCAAAACGTTTTTTTCGCTAAGACCTGACCAAGCATCAGAATACCATACCCTCGGTTCTAAGTTAGGGGCTTCGTCTTTAACCAGATATTTGTGTGCTTTGAGAGCGAAGGCGATTTCAAACATTTATTAACCCTAAATTTATTCAGAGAAATAAAAACTAAGCACATGTTCATGTTTTATGACCAGACTGCAAGGCAACATCGTTACAATAAGGGTAGCCACTATAAATGAATTGAAAATATGTCAAAGTTTTGGGAACGACGATAATAAATCAGAATTGCAAATACGAGTAAATTAAGAGCTGTTCGTCTTCCCATTTGCTACAGTCTAGAAATTGCAAAGATTGAAACATACAAAATTATAATTCTGTCTGTTGTTTTGTATGGGTGTGAAACATGGTCTCTCACTATAAGGGAAGAACACAGATTGAGGGTGTTTGAGAGCAACGTGAGAGAATATTTTGGCTTATGAGGAATACCGAAGGAAACTGCACAAAGCGGAGATCAACAATTCATACTCTCCACGAGATATCAGAGTGGCGACGTCAAGGAGGATGAGATGGGCGGGACATGTAGCGCGCACAAGGGAGATGAGAACAATGTTGATTGATGGGAGGTACCACTCATGAGACATAGGCATAGATGGGAGAATAATATTAAAATTAAGGTGGCAGTCTTATGGTTTGTAGAGCCGTGTAGTGTGGTAGAAGTTTACCGACGTTTCAGATGTCCTTGATGCAGCCATCTTTGCGGAGTCATGTTGTCCTTTTAAACACGACGATCCATACAACAGTTTTACAGATATAAAGTAGCATGTCATACAATTTCACACGCCAAGAAGCAATATTAGTACATTAAATTAAATATTACAGAGATCCGGCACTCTTCAGTATCATGCCATTAAATCGTTTAGAAATGCACATGTGAAGAAAGAATATTCACATTCCTTTATTACGTTAAAATCGTAACACGAGTTTGTGAGTATTCGGGGAAAAAAATGTATACATGTCTGTTACTTAACCTCTTAAAGAAAATGTTTATATGAATTCACTTTAAAATAACAGAAATATGTTCTGTGTGTCAATTATTGCCATTGTTAATGCTGCAAATTTAGCATAAACCATTGTCACACAATGTAATTATGTAAGTAGAAAGTTTTTATTCGTGTGCGTTAACACGCGAAGTGGTGCGTAATAATACAAAGGTCGTTTATTGCGTCCTTTCTCCACGCGTATTCCCAGAAAACACACGATATAATAAACAATGCGTAATTTGCAATTTGGTAAGTTCACAACAAAATAATTGCGCTGTAGATGACTATGACGTCACGAAGCCGGCCGGCAAAGGGAGAATATCTGTTGCGTTGTTCCGGAGATGCGCAGAAGCCATGTTTACGGACAAGATGTGTAACAGAGAAAGAGAGAGAGAGAGAGAGAGAGATGTAGGGGAACCAACACTGCTTTTCCAGACACTCATGCAATGGCAACACAAATTAATTCGGCGCAAAAGTCAAGAAAACAACTTATTCCAACTAAAACAAGCGAAGAAACATTTTACAAATAACAGATAAATTAAATCTGTCATGGCTGAATGCGCAGAAATATGAAAGTAAATTACTGAACGTGCATCTGTGACTTTCACCAAACACAAACTGCTAATATAAGCAGGTCATGATTACAATATAAATCAAACACAAAACCCAAGAACGCACCGAAATATTTCTGTATCACGAAGGTTTGTAACCTGCAAATCATGTTGGTAACAGTATACCCAGGCCGCCATTGTCTGTATGGCTGAAACGCTGGTCAGGAACTGGCTACTCGTACAGCTAATCACTCAAATATAATGCGAACTATGGTCCAGGCCAAAATTTTGCATAGAAACTAAACAAATTTTAGACACAAATCAGATGTCTATGTCAGAAGCACTGTGGAACGAAAGAAAAGTTCCAGTTTAATGCCCACTGGCACATTTTTCAATGTCCAAAACTCACTTCTCATTTAATTATTATTGAACTCTCAAGAATTAATTTCTCCCAAAAAAAAATTGTCTTTGATTATGAACAAAAAAACTGCAACGTTAACCACTTTATTTTTGAAAGCGTCTACATCTTCCGCTGCTACTACACAAAGACACCGTAACCCACTTTGACCATTGGCCTTTCTGTAAACTTCGAAAACCTAGAACGTTTAGTTGGGAACGGGGGTCAGCCGGCAGCGAGGTTCTTACATCTACCCTATTACTATAATTAATGATAAAACCTCCACTGACCTCAAATCCTGGAGGGATTATATTGACGATAACTTCATCAATTTGTGGCTGATGTGACGTCACTTCGCCGGAGATTTCTCGACCGTTGTAGGTGAGAAAAACTTTCTGTCCTGGTAAAAGTCTAAATCCTGTCACGGCTTGGAACCCGGGACCGATCAGTTCGGCTTCCTTGTATTCTCTCATCGCGGTCACAAGTCGTTTGCTTCCAGGCAGTGGATCGAAACGTACCGAATATCTGGTTTCACCTGCAGAATTTGCGAATCCATCACAGTTCCCAGGTGTTTTGACTGCATAAATAACACCGGAATAAAATTTACCGTCCTCTCCTTGGGCACAAACTCTAGTCCCTATTATGGAACGTTTAGCCAACCTTTTCCCGGTAGACATTGTTTAAATCACGAAGTACTATATCCTCCAATGTTAATCAAGACAACAAAAACAACACTCCCTTTCTGACTCAGTTCCATTAATGACGCCACTAAATGTAGGTCACCAAATCACACCAGCCTTCAATGTCGTTCACAATAGCTTGGGGCAATAATTCTGTGTTGTTACAAAATCTATTTCTGTAAAAAGTTATTAAACTATCTGTTAAAGAATACACAATTCACTAAAACAAAACTAAAATCTTCCACAGAGACTATTTTATTTCGCACTTTTAAAATTACTAAAATAATGTAACGGGAAATGTCAATTCCGTATTTCGCTTATTTAAAACTCCTTCAATTCTTGCCTGATTTCTGTCCTCACGAAACCACACCGTCAATATAACACCACTTGCAGGATAACAACGTTTGTTCATACTCTTGGAAGTAGGAGCTCTTCGTCAAACGACCGACATTAAACAACGAAAGTGTACGACAATATGACGGTATCATAATGAAGTGACACAAGAGATTTCCTTCTACAAATGTCTAACGTTTGCAATACCATTCAATCAGCTGGCTGTCGCCGGCCTGCTCCGTGTCTGACTGGATTGTCGAGCTCAGCTGCAAAATACACCGGCCGGTTCCCGGGTCCAACAGCTGACAGATAACAACAAACACACGTGACCTCAGGCTCTGCACTCCGATTGGCTCCTTCAACGATGCCTGACCTATATTTCCTCATTGGTCGCTGGCAGCACGTTCGTAGCCCAAAGTAAAAAAAGGGTTCCTAGAGCAATTGTGTTGGCAAACTAAATACGGCATATTATATGTGAGTGTCATGTTGTGGATTTCGTAAAGACATATAAAATATTATTCATATTTCAAAGATATTTCTCTGAATCAATCAGTGGAAAACCCCACGTATCACACAGAATGCACATCAGCACTCGAGTACGATTCAAAATCACACAAGACGAAGTTTTGTGCACGTTTTAACACTTTCCAACACAAACTTTGTTAAACACACAATTATCCATCGAAGCAACAGTGTTGTTAGAGTAACATGTTAAGAGCCACAAAGTGAACTAATGAGTTCGAAACATGTACCCCAGTAGTATGAAGTGAAACGCACGAATGAAACTTAGAGAAAAAAACTTTTTGTGTGGAGTCGGATATATAATATTTTATCTTTCAACCAAATAAGCTATAAGTTTCTTATTTCACTTGCTACATTTTTCTTTATAAAATTACAATTTCGGAAGAAAAGGTAAATTAAATTAGCTGCTAATTTGTTACGTGTACCAAAACATAGGCGTACTTTTAAAAAACTGTTGAGTAGTATTATTCGACTTGGGAAGGCAGAAAGTCAGTGTGTACAAGTATGGTCTATGTAGTCAGTAGCATCATATTCTTTGAATTAAATATTAGTGCCACAAGCCAGTCATTTAAAGACGTCAGAAGCCGGACTTGTTTGACCTTGTTTATGTAACTTACACTTCGCGGACATGCTCCCCACTAAATTTTATAGTATAACTCATTTAATTATATGAACTACTTTAAAGGAGGAAGCAGAACTTCGTTCAGCACAGAATAAAAGTACACGGATTTTAAATATGTTCCCGTTATCCAGACCGAAAACTAATATTTTGTATTGCCCCAATACACATGCCTCTTTCATATTCGTCACTAGCTTGACTCCATCTGTTAGATAATTTTTTAACAAGAAACAACCATTTTTCAGTGCAGCCAACGTTCCAGGCATTAAACGTAACGAAGTCAGATTCTTGAGCAGGTAACTTCCATTGAGACACCATTAATTGTTTGGTTTTGACAACATATATTTCGTATTTAAGTTTATGACTTGTGCTGTGGGCTAAATTTACATTTGTGAAACAACTTCGTATATACATTAATATCAGCAACACAAACCAGCCATATCTCTACGGAAGTGCAGTTAAATTGTTAGTTATAAGGTTTAAAATTAAATCTGAATTCCGTTTTATTTTCTGCTTCCGTTGAACAGTTTGGATTTGAAGTAGAATTACCCATTTCAAAATAAAAGCACGAAGGCAAAATATGGCCATATATGACGTAAAATGACTAGGAATGTGGGTATTTGTAGGTTTACGTAGGATTCATTACCCACAAAAGCGTGTCCGGAAGTACTCTTTCATGCTTCTGTTAGAACAGCTGATAAAATTAAACCACTATCAGGAAATAAATTATTAGTTCTGTAATGCTGGGTATCTTGAAGGAGGAAAAGTGGACTGGTGAAGTTGCTTTATTTTTAATTACGATTTATCTAATTGTTCGAAATTCTGAAGGGCATAGTTATCAACCGGAAGATCCTACAGGTAATTTAGATGCATATGTTAAACTGGTTTACTGAAAATGCAGCCAGTACAGATTGTGCAATAGTGTAGTAGCACATTCTGTAAGCTGTTATTGTGCTCAAATGTATAGTTTGTACTTTTCTTTTGCTGTTTTAGATTATTTACTCTGTCGAGGTTGTGGTGCTGACATTGCAGATTCCAGTTACATCCATAACCGTTTTAGTTCAGAGGCACTGATCTACGGAAATCAGTCGCTCTTTGGGAAACAGAGTGTTGCAGTTCAACTTTTAGAAAATCCATTGGGCATAAGATTTCGAGTGCTTGTTGTAAACAAAGCAAAGTGCATTGGCGTGGACGAAGTATGTTTTGATATCGCAATGCGGTGTTACTAGTAGTTACAATTATCAGCATATTTAGTGCATGTGACACTATCCCATAATGGATTTTGCTTTTCATTCACACATGAATGTGGAGAATAACGTGTCTATCTTGATCCTTTCCAGTGGCATAGTGAATTTTCTTGGTATCCTGGTTATGCATGGAAACACTGTTTATGTTCACATTGTGGCCACCATTTAGGATGGTAAGCATGCCATAACTTATTATGAGAATTGCTGGTATTAATCCCCAACTTGTGACTTTAAATACTAGATCAATTGAATGTTCAGTACCTTCCTGAATTTTAATAATCTGTCGACAGGATTTTTGAACCTCTGGCATCAGCAGTTGTAGATCGTAAGACAGCTTCAGACCAAGGATTTTATGGATTGATTTTAGATAATTTGCTCACTGAGAGCTGTAAGTATAATAATTTATAACTAAATATACAAGTCTGCCCTATTCCAGTATAAATCAATGTATGTAAAGTTGAAGAGTACAAGTGTAATACAGATTGTTTTGTGACAGTTTCAGATTCTTTGATAATTGTGCCAAAATCATATAAAAGTTGAACAAAAAAGATATAGGACCACCGCAAGAGCAATAATTGAGAGTTAACTGCTTCTTCTGTGAGCAAAAGTATCTGGTGCCTTTGTTATTTATATTTTTTGACACAACAAACTTCTTTAGAAAGTCTGCAAATATGACAGCGGAAGAGAACGTGACAGCCGGCGAAGATCATGCAGTGGGTGTTACACTGACAGAAGAACAGAAACAGTTTTTAGCTGCATGTGAAGCAGAATTTGCTGATCGCTACACAGAAGTTGATCAGGAGTTCATTCAGTACAAAGACAGAGTGTGTACCCCACCTATTGTTGATCCATGGTACAATAAACCTAGACGTAATTTTGATTGGTCTACTCGGTTTAGACGCTATCAGAACTGGGGTTCACGAAATGAAAGGGGACATAATCAGGGTGGTGAAGGTGGCTGTTATAAACGCCAGGGCGATCGTTACTACGGTCACTACCACCGTCCGTACTGATTCATCCATGTACTGTGATGGGTATATATTTGTATATATGCATACACTTCAATTTATACATTATTATGTGAGAAATTAATGAGAATGGATATCAGTTTGATTAAATAAAAGTGTTTGAGGTACCAGAGTGGAGTCAAACAATAATTCCTACCCCCTCCCCTTCCGAAGCTCCACTAATTTTTGCGTAATCATAACAGATTCATCAGAGGAACTAAACGTAACATTTTTCTACAAAACTTGTTTACCTGTCACTGAATTCTGATTTTTCTTGTCTGTTGAGAACAAAGCTGCTTATTCCCTTCATGTGCAGACAAATTTTCTTTGCAAATTCTATCATGTTATGTATGAAAAGTGTTGGATGTCTTTTGTATGTGGAGCTGGGTTCATCCATCTGTCAGGAATTGTCTCGACACCAAAGCATGTAAAAAGGATCTTTGAAAGTTTGAGTTGCTAAACTCATCATAGATCCTAACAGAACTCAACTACAATGTAACCTGAAAAAAACATTGCTTATATTGGAAATATTGAGGAGGAGAAATACTGGAAGTAACAGAGATAACTAAAGGAGATACAAAAAGAAGTGGTGTTTTGTGCCAACATTATACCTCTTCATTTTATGGTTGTACACAGCTTTCATCTCAATACTCACTCTGAAGATTGCTGTCTTCTGGGTTATTGCGCCGCGATTCATCTTCCTGATGACGGAGGCAGTGTGACCTCTGAAATGGTGGAAATCTACCAGACTACATGGCGCAATAACCCATAAGACAGCAATCTTCAGACTCATTGCTGTGAAAACCTCAAATCCTACAATATTCACTTTGAAGATTTCTGTCTTCTGGTTTGTTGCGCCGTGTAGGCTGGTAGATTTCCACCAATGTTTCAGAGGACACACTGCCTCCGTCATCAGGGCGCACTTTACCCATGACAAACTAGTTCCAATTGTTAAGATTAACTTGTAAAATATCTGGTAGCTTCATATGATGCTCAGTTTAACAGAATATTTCATAAAGGAATTCTGTATTATTTGTGCTTTTGTAAGAAATTTATTTCTGAATATCATATTCCAGTTCAGCACTGTCAGCCTGTTAATTAAAAACTTACCATGCCAAGAGAGGTATGTCTGTGATACGTTTGGAAAATCCTTGTGTATAATTTTTGCATGCCTTTCTTTTCCTTTCCTTTGAAGTCCAGCTTTGCATCATCACACAATTCTTCCTCAGTCTTCTTGACAGGGAAATTGAATTTCTGCATATTCTCCAACTATATGGTCTCTGTCTGAGCTGATGTAGAAACCAATCAAAATACAGCATCAGTAAAAATGTTTCATAAGTACTAACCACATTGCTTTAACTACTGTGGTTGACAAAGTATTCCTAATCAATCAGTAACTATGTAATTAATTTACCAGATAGGATAACTTTCCATATCTCCATATAGCACATCTTCATGAAAGCCATTTATAAGTATCTCTCACTTGTCCATGAAACTTCAGACCTTCCAATTATGTTGAAATATAAACATAGTCAGAATATCATTAGCAAGTCTCAGCATTCTTAACACACTAACTATACAATTAAATCTATAGAGACAGATCATTTCTCTTCATTCATTACTTTCATGTGCAATTTACCCGAAATAATAAATTTTCAGTCTAAGTCTACAGTCTTAGCTAATAATAATAGTACAGTCAAACCTCGGTTCACAAACGTCTCGGATCATGAACAACTCAGTTTACGAACAAATTTTCCGAACACAAATCATCTCGGATTACGTACTGTGTCTTGAGTTACGAACACGCAAGCCGTCAACATCATGGAGCGATAAGCTGGGAGTATCAGCATCGGCAGTATTCCTAGATGAATAATCCAGCATGGGGCCAAAGAAAGACAATGATAGCAGCAACGTGAAAAGAAAACATACCAATATCATGATAGATGTTAAGAAAGAAATCATAGCCAAACATGAAAATGGTGTTCATGTCTCTGATCTTGCTACTCAGTTTGGGATGGCAAAATCAACGATCTGTACTATTCTCAAAAATAGAGAGACAATCAAGAAAGCCGATGTTGCAAGAGGAATGACAGTTATTACTAAACAAAGATCACAGACGATTGAAGAAGTGGAGAAATTGCTGCTAATTTGGATAAACGACAATATGTTAGCTGGCAACAGTGTTTCTGAGGGTATGATTTGTGGCCTGGAGGAAATTGTGGCCAGAATGTGTTGCAGGCAGAGACTTTGAGGGCTTTGACAATGAAGATTCTGCTGTTATCGATGATATTGTGTCTCTAGGCAAAACCATGGGCTTGGAAGTTAACAATGAAGATGTGGAGGAGTTACTAGAGGACCACAAAGATGAACTCAGCACGGAAGAAATGGAACAACTACAGAAGCAGCTACCAAAGGCGATTGTGAAGGAAATGTCTTCAGAGGAAGAGGAAGGAAGGGAGGATGTTCCTACTTCTTTGATCCGTGAAATTTGTGCAAAATTTGGTGAGGTGCAAAGGTTCGTGGAACAATATCACCCCGATAAAGCAGTAGCAAGCCGCAGCATAAACATTTTCAATGATAATGCCATGTGTCACTTTAGAAACATTTTAAAACGTAGACAAAAACAAATCACACTGGACAACTTTTTAGTGAGACAGAGGCCCAGTGAGTGTATTGCAGAGTCGAGTGGTGCCAAGAGACAGAAAAAAGAAAATCCCTTCCAAACAATAACATTTCACTTCCTCACCACCTTCCACTTATGCCGTCAACTCTCCTCCATACAGGTACGGTAAAACTAAATTAAGTTTTCGTCTATATTTGATCTGCTTAGTGTTGTGTTTATCTTCTTTGTGATAGAATTAATGGTTTCCATTGATTTTGTGTTAAGAACTTGTGCACAAAGTCATGTTGTAAAATTTTAAATAAGCAATCATCTGGGGTCCAGGAACGGATTAATCCATTTTACATTAATTCCTATGGGGAAAATAGTTTCGGTTTACGAACGACCTTCAGGAACGAATTAAGTTCGTGAACCGAGGTTTGACTGTAATACTTATATATCATTCTGATAACAATTACTTTCATAATTCCATTAATGGTCTTTGCCGACCTGATCAAGTGGTTTATATCCAATAAACTCACATTAAATTCTGACAAGATAAACTTCATAACATTTGCTACTAACAACAAAACGTATAAATTTTAATATAGGTCATAAAATATAACAACTGAATAAGTATTAACAACTAAATTCCTTGGTTTACTTATTTATAATAACTTAAACTACAGAAAGCACATTGAATATATTATCTTCCCCCAATATAAAAGGCTGAATCACGATATAAAGAAGTTTAAGCCAGTAGTAAAAGAGTATCTCTTATCTCACTCCTACTCCATAGAAGTAAAAAAAAGTAAAGCTGTCCCACTATACGCCATGTAGGCGCTTGGGGGGGAGTGGAGGTATAGCTCCTACTCATTCTTCACCTCGGTACTAGATGGGTGTGAGTGGTCAGCATCATGCCCCGGCCGGCTTTACCCCAGGTACTCATTGGATAGGAGGCTGGGTGGGCCCCAGAGCCGGTCTGGACGCAGAGGCTAGAGGAAAAATCCTCTACCCCCGTCGGGGATCAAACCCTGGTCGACCAGTCCGTAGCCAGTCACTATACCGACTGAGCTACGCCGGCTCATATAGAAGTATTCAACTCAACCAAAAATTCTCAGCTATTATAAATACATGTAAGCAACAGTGGTTATGCTTTCTTGTGTATTTATTTTTGCACTAATGCTGTAGCTGACCGTAAATTACTGTCATTACTATGTAATTTATATTTGTATTAGTAACAAGTATTGTATTTGTGCTGACATGTTCTACATCCTTTGCTAGGCCTATGTAGGATGTATGGAATGTAACAAATTTTATTCTATTATATCCCCAAACTAAGATCAGAATGAGAACAGTTACACACTGAAGAAAGTAAATACTTTAAAATGTGCTTACCTTGTTTATTTACATTCCATCATGACACATGTTATTATCTTCTGGGGAACTCAACAGACAACAAAAAGAGTTTAACATCCAGAAGAATATCATTACAATAATGGCAGGTATTAAGAAATGAGTGCCTTGCACAGAACCATTTATTGAAATTTAATATACTCCTCTTGTGAGTGTATTCGTTCTCTAATTACTGCCATGGACAACATGGAGAAGTTCCATACACACTGACATACATAGCATAAATACAAGGCATAAGCATGATTTCCATCAGCCAAGTACTAACCTCACTAGTTATCAGAAAAGTGCTTACTATTCAGGAATCAAATTATTCAGTACTCCTCCAGTTAGTACTAAGTGTTCATGTTCATACTGTGACATGTTATATAACCTTGGACTGTATTATGAAAGATCTATGGAGAGTAAACAAATTCGTATTCTAATAATTTCACAAATCAAATGTTGGTAGGTAAACATACGTTCATAAATTCTGAAGCCTTGCTAATTATCTGTGCTTGTTAACTTCTTTGGGAAGTCCTGCACCAAGCTTCCAGTGGCGAACATCACAGATGACCTAAACGTACGCCTGCATGAACACAAAAATGATATATCTGAAGTAACGTACATCAACTGGTCTTGTACGTAGCAAATTTGTTTGTGTTGTCATGGGGTTAATGGATGCTTTTAATTATGTTCTACAAAATCCATTAATAACAGGAACTGTAGGATACGTGAAAGTTTTAGTACGTTTATCTAAACTACGTTTATTATAGTGCCTAGTGACTGATAAGTTATGACGTAACCATTGTGTGATAATTTATGACATAACCTTAAAGTCGTCATATTTGTCTTATTTACTTTTGTCAGGGAAGTGCAATGATACCGAAAGGGAAAGAATTGCCACCTTTACCGCCTGTACCACAGCCGCCACCAATATGTACATTTCCCATTTGGAAACATACATATTCAGGAAGTCCTTTTGTACGTTTGGCAGGAATATTTGGAGCATCCGCTGTTGTTCTTGGTGCTTATGGAGCACATGGTAGGTGAATTGCAATCAAGAAACTTACAGTATTTGATTTAACACATATGCTGCCATGCTTTTCTTACACATTCATTTTTACAATTTGAAGTCTGTATTTACCAGAACTATGTTGTCTCTCTCCACAGCATTATATCCTATAGAAGGCCGGGAAGAATTAAAGAAGATCTATGAAACAGCAAATCGATATCACTTCCTTCATTCTCTGGCACTTCTTGGAGTTCCGTTTTGTAGATGGCCACGAACGGCAAGTTTTCAGTTACTGAATTCACACTAGACATGTTTACAAAGCATTTTATTATCAAAGTGTTTTGAGAATTATTTCTAATGTTCAATATAAATTCCAGTCTCCCTGCTTTAAAATATTAAGGCTTAAATGATAGTAATGCTCTTTGGTCTGCCAACATCAAAGAAATAGACCACTTTTTATGTATCAAATTCTAGAAATTATTACAGTCATACTTGATTAATATTTACCCCTTTGCTGTTTAATAATATATTGATAATGTTCATTTCAGACTGTCAATCATATGAATGATCTGAAATATCTGAAAAATGTTAATTGGAGTTGTAGATCATGGACATTGAATTATACTAGTCATTGATCATTTATGTACAAAGTTTGATATCTATGGACTGTCTGTTTTAGCTCTGTTGCATTAGAACAGTTCTAACTCTACTAAATTTAATAAAATGAAACTTGACATAATTTTATGTCACAATTTCCTGGATGGTGGAGAATTAAATATGTCATTCAATCAATAGATTGAGAATTTATGACCTGGCTGGAAGGCTAATTCATGGGTATTGTAGGACTGTGTGTCTCTATCATAATTGGACTTTACTGTTGTCCTTCATGGTTTAAAAAAAAAGTTTACGTTCTCTGAAATAACCGTGGGCATAAAGAAAAACCAAGCAGGTAATGATGAAGTGATGGCTGCAGTGGGTCCACCTAAAACACATTTTACTTGATGTCTGTTTCTTGCAGTTTAGAAGAGGCAGTCTAGAAATGAAAGCATCAAAGTGCATATCCAATGGTGTAGTATGTAAGTCTGTTAGATCAGTGAGTGTTGATTAGTTGTGGAAAATGTTATGTGGATAAAAATCCTCTGGCTTATACATACAATACATTTGTATTAGAAGGCACTGAATGTAGGTGAATGCAGATAATTATAATTATAATTACAGGAGTTTAGCCCAAGGATGTACTTAAATATGCAAGACAAGGCTAGGAAATTAATAGTCAAAACAACTGGCATCCTGACTGGATTTCAATCTTGAAAAGTATGCTTTTTTCTCTTTCTGTCCACAGAGTGGTTCTTTCCTAGTCCTTGGAATGGTTCTGTTCTGTGGTACCTGCTACTACCATGCTCTCACAGGGAATAGTGAGTTGAGGTGGCTAACTCCTTGTGGTGGAACATTTCTAATTGTTGGTTGGCTTGCTATGGTACTGTAATTCGTATTCTTAAAAATTTAAACTATATTTTCAGTGTAAGTCACCATTCAAAATATTTAATGGAAATTTTGTTTCTGGTTATAAGAGTATTGTTTGTACCAGTATGCATATTACTTGTAACATGGCTGTCCAACTGTAAAAACCAAGACTATGTATGTTAGAATCTTACTGTTCAAATTAGTGGAGATGTTCAGATGCATAATTTGTCTGTCTTGTGAAAATAAATTTAGAAATTTTTAAATTTCATTCCAATCTTCTGTACAGAATGTGGATGTTGGGGAGAAGGCACGGAATATCCGAAAGCTTACATGCTTAAACATTGGGCTATTTAGCATGATTTGTAAGACATGACTGATTATATTGGTGTAAAATTCGTATTCCTAGCAAATATCACTGCTGCTCTGACAATAAGCCTTTGAAAATCATGCAATGTCAATATGCCATATCTCAATAATGCAAACTATTTCCTGGAAATGACCAAAGGCCCAAAAGTTCATACATAACAAAGTGTATTTGTAGATCATGTTTAAAACGTCTTACCATAACTCAGGTTTTAGTCACTGACTTCACACTGCAGAGGCGTGGGTTCATGCCCAGGGCAGTACAAGTGAGATTTATGGTGGACAAAGTGGCACTGGGACTCGATGTTGAATCTGAAGGTTTCTGATGGTACATTTTTGGACTTCATGCATTGTCTAAATTACAAAGAGAAATAAAAATTTATTCTGATAGCTAGATTTTCTTCTATCTTCAGGTTAAAAGGAAAGGACAGGACCTCAATGAGGTAGCCTCAGATCTGATCTAGGTCTAAGAAAGTTATTGGACCCTTTTATTTTTTCTGAACTCAAAGAAGAGGAAGTTACTACAAGTCAGCAACTCCAAATTCCCCTATATGAAAAGTTTTCATGTTGTTTTAAGGGGAGAGGTGGCCTTATTTCACAACATCTTAGGTCCCCAGATTTACAACCCCTTGACTTCTTTTCTGGGGGATGTATAAAAAGTGTAGTTATGCAGCTACTGGACATGTAAGACACAGCTGGAACATTAAAATATGAGACTTGGACAGAAATGCTGAAACATGCCAGGCCAAGATCATCTCAATACCTGTTGTATTACAAGAGCTGTATTTAATTACTTACACATTAATGGTTGCTGTCAACTTTGAAGTAGTCTCCTTCACACCAGTACGCTTAATGAGCTGGTGTTTCCACGGCTCAAAGCATTTCTGGAACTTCCCTTATGGAATGCACTTCAAGATGGTTGTTGTATGTCAGTGAATGTCAACAGTGTTTGAAAATCTGTGGCCCTTCAAAGCAGTCTTCAGTTTTAGGACTAACCAGAAGTCACATGGGGCCAAATCTGGTGAATATGATCCAATTTCAGTAACAATTACTTAGCCAAAAACTTCCACACAGCGAGCTCATCATGATGCAAGATCCAAGCATCAGGCCCAAGTTCACATCTTCTCTGACAGACTCTCAAAACCTTGCCAGTATTTCCAAATTACAATACTGGTTCACTGTTCCTTGCGATATATAATTTTTTAAAAAAAGAACATTGTCCTCATTTGGGCTCATGACATGCATGCCTTTTTCTGGTCTCTTTTTTGGTCACTCCGTTATGCACTACTAGCGCTATAAGTCCCTGTTAACATCCACAGATTTTCACTTACACGTTTGCCTAACTGCACAAAACACAATGTGAGAACCTCAAGTCTTACAATGTTAATGCATTGCTCCAACAACCTAGCATTCACTTTTCCACTGGGATAGAAAAACATGCTTATGTAACTCTCCCACTGCTTCACTACTACTGCCTTAATTGCTTAACCAACACACACTGCTGCTTACTTATGCTCACTTGCTACTCGATGCATCATACACGTGGGTATTGCAGGAACTAAACTGTCACACCTCGTATGCTGCCATTCTAGTTTTTGTTTCAGTTATGATTCATGATTATGAAAATATACAATTTTCAGACACCAAACATATTTTGTGGTCTCCTTATAACTGATGTAAGAACCCTGATCTAGTGACATTTTTATATGCTTTTGTGGAATCTTGATTTAATATATTTATATTAACTTTTAAACTTTTTAATTTGTATGTATACTTTACTGTTAGTTTTCATCATGGTATTTGAGGCTGGTTCAAAAACTGATGTTTTTTAAAAGGTTGACTGAATACTTGCTTCTTGCAGCAGCAGAAAGCAGTGGTGGCTGGGTCAACTTTTGAGGTGGAATTAAAACTACTGATTTTTAATGTAAGATTCTAAGCAATAACCTTTGTTGGGGGGAGTTTTAATTCCAAATGAAGTGTAACATTATTGCAGCAACATATATTTTATCAACATGATTGTGCTAATATGCAAAGGTGTTTAGTTATTTTTTAAACACCAAAAATAGGAAATAAGTCTATATTACTGGCCCAACAGTTTCCAATTTTCTTTTAGAGACTGAACTAATATGTATCTTCCACTTATGCATATACGGGACTCTAGCATATTTGTTCACGTGACAATTATGCTGTGTTAGGCACTATTCCTAACAATGTATAAGCATTTATTAGCCTGGCCATGTCTTTTCATAATGTCATGTTTGACAGCTTTACTTTGATGAAATTTGGTACTGAAACACAGACTATGAGACTTAAATACGATGTTCTGCTTTCATCTTGTAAGAATTTTATGTTGAATATATTTTGTTTTATATGTCACATCTTTACTGTACAATGTACTGTTAACAGTTCCAAATGTGATCTCACGAATAAATACATTTATACAAAATGCACGCAATGTAACAATTTCTGAACTTGTTACATTAATGGCATATGAAAAAAGGGCACAGATTTTGTGTCAGCGAAGGACTAGAGCTCAGATGACAAATGAAAGTGCTTTTGAAGAGAAACCTGTTTTTATACTTAGAATGCTAAAGCCATGATTCGTTAAGAACATTTACTCTTGACTGATTAGCATCGCAAAAGAAATGAAAACATGGCTGGAATAGATCGTGTACTAATCACAAAAAGAATAAAGTTATCAGGAGAGAAAGATTCACGAAGAAGAAAGATGCACATCTTGAAGGGGAATACAAAAAATGTTGAGGGGAGGGGGAATAATAACACCTGGGCTTTTCACTTGAATTTATGGCCTCATCTGAAGTAAAACGTGATAAACCCACGCAATTAAAAATAACAGTAAAAAGTATGTCAATATAATTACAATAGATATTGCATTTTCTTTGGATCTCACTAATGTTAGTGATTTCTAGTTACAGAAACTTAAATAAAAACTTTCTAAGACAGCACTGCATATACAGTTTTAATTGACGTGTAATAATTTTTAATGATCAATTATTTGCATTTACTTGCATTTTTTGTCAGAATAAAGGGTCATTACATTTCAGGAGCATGTTATATATTTCTAAATACCGAGACTTCTGCAGACTTACGTATTATATAAATTATGGCACAATGGCCTCTAATGTTGTTCAAAGAAAATTGTATCTTTGGTGCAGTGAAACTGTGTAGATTATAAAAAAAACTATGGGGTATCATGCAGGAAATTTGAACTTTTGATTTTGATCACTGTCCTAATGGTCATGTATATATGTGAAACGTAGTAATACATCAAGCTTGCAGGAAAAATTAACATTCATATCAGCATTTTTATATGCAAACTTTGGTGGCAGCCATCTTCTGTATTTATTGTCAATTTACCATTTCTGTCTCAGGAAGTAACTCAGTATATATGAGTAGTAACAATTATTATAAATGTGCAGCAAGTGGTTTTAGATATTATTTTCGTGAAACTTTTTGTGATATCAGTACATGAAATGCTATTAGAAAAGAAAGTTGTCATGAATTCTTTAACATTTGATTTTCAGGAACAGCATATATTTGCGATATGACCATTCCTAACAAATTTCATAACTGTGGTCATAATGTTTCCTTAAAACCAAAGCTATGGATGCCCAACTTGAGCATTTTCATAAATTACATTTACATTCTCTTAAATGGTCTGAAGGCCAGACATATTGCAGTATCTAAAAGCAAAGGTCACTTCACTTATAAAGTTGAATTTACAAAACTTGTGTAAGTTTACATGCCATTTTAAATGTTTAATACATTTGTGATTAGGAACCATAAACTGCATGCAAATACAGACCAATAATTTGGACAATCAGTATCTCTGGGTAAATCCTTATTTCACAGAATATTTCCTATGTCAACAGACTATTTACTCTGGTTTCTTATATATCTGCTATTACTATATCAGAAACAAAATATTATGGGCAACTTTAAATTTAATACAGACAGGAGTGCTGCACTAAAGAAAGCCATTAACTAAAATAATTTTTTTTTTGGAATGATTACACAGGTTTTATAAACATTTAGAACAGGCTTCATAGTCAGTTTTCATTTTCTGTGATGATATGTCTTAGATACCTACATTTGGGGATACTAAACACATTTCCATTACAGGTTTCTCAGAAAAAATGTCACATGACTGAATAGACAGGAAATGAATGACAAGAAGTCAAAAAGTTATCAACAAAATCATGGTCATTCATCATTAAACTCCAAGTGACATGTATGAAGGCTGTAGTACTTAGTTGTAAATTCATGCATTGAGTAGTAAACAATTCTGTTAGTGGTCATCGCAAAAATATACCTTAAAGGTCAGGAGTTTATTTGTAAGTAGTGCAGTTCAAAAGTTATAAACTGATTTTTACTGTGTTTCAAAACATTCACCCCCACAGCAAAGTAAAAAGTAATGTACTACCTATTTTATATAGGGGGATGAAGTGGAAAACGGCTTATGCAACAAAAATTAGTTTACCAAATAAAACTTTTAAACAGTTTTCACTTGGACATACAACGCAGATTAACTGTAACAACACTCATCATACCTGTACACAATCTTTATGAAGCACAAAATATAATATAAACTTTTGAGAGGGAAACAATATCTACCCTTTCTTCTACATCGTAAATAACTGAATTTGCCCGAAATACTAATGTTGTGCAAACCATATTACACTGGGACTCATCACAATGCTTGATAATTATGGATGTATTACAATATAGTCCTGATAATTAAGCAAAATCTAGAGATGGGAATAAAACAAGATTAAGAATACAGTAACTGAAACTTAAGGACAAATACTTCAATTCCAAGTGTCAGTTATGTTAACAAATAATTTATAACACAATATCAAACAAAAACCAACCTCTAGACCTTTTCAACTTCTTTTTGTCATGTGGCTTACTGGGTTATATGAAAGTAATGAAATACAGACATGCCAAATATGTTACTAACCCTGAATTATAGATAATTTGTGGGTAGTTTCCATTTCAGCAACCATGTACCACCTTTACCTTCAATTATAAATTTGTGCCAATTTCTTTGCATTGCCTGGTTTAGTATAACAATTTTCTGTTGAAGCATTTGCAGGGAAAAAAACAAGCCAAAGGCCATGAAATTTGTAGTCCCATTCTTATATGATGACCTTTCTGCACATAGTTCAAACAGTACACTATAAATTCCACACAGCTTCACAGTGGATGCCCCCTAGAAAAATTCTTTCCCTCACAAGTTTGGACTGTCAGTAATATTGCAAATGAACCTACCTGGGCAGTTTTATACATATTTATATATAAAAAATGACACTGTGAATGCAAATTAGAAGTATAAACCCAACTTGCTTTGAAAGACTAGTTTAAAAAATTAATTAACAGAGATATATGTATATATATATATATCTTCCTCCAACTGTCACCAATACTTCACAGAATGCATAATTCTCTTCACAGTGCATGAAGCATTATTCTCCAGAACAAGTATTTTAAAATGAACTCACAATGTGGAGGATACAGACTAAAGAAATGCAACTTTGTTCCTCAAGGATTATCTTACAACCTCAAGAACATACGTTCACAAACACGCGAACACATATACACAGTGCACACCCTAACTATTTCGCATAACAGCATGAAGTCTGATGATATCTGCAGTCACAAATTAAGCATCACACTTTTTCGCTGTGTTCACTTTCACGTGTAACACTTATGCTTTATTACAAAAAAATTGGTGTCTCTCATCACATCCGTATCACTAAGTGTCCTCTCCTCACATCCAGCTGTTTCTCCTACTGTTGTACCTTGGAATATCATACTGTTTCAACAGGAAAGGAACTCGACTTTCCGAAGTCTGTTTCTACAGTGATGATAGTAATAATAGTTCGATAATGTTTGAAGATTCTTGTCCTCCTCCTCCGCAAAGTCTAACGTCAGTATTCAGCTTGTATAAGCATGGATTCTTATTGGATAGCTTCCTATCAAGTTCAGTTGCGTACGTGTATACTATTATATAAACTGAAGGCAGGGATATAAGTATCAGTGCCCTTAAGACTGGAACATAGGTGGGATATTTTCAGTATACTTTAATATGAAAGAAATAAATCATATTTCCATTGTTAATCAGTACAAAGGAGGCCAGCTTGTTTTAACAGGGAACTTCCGTCTATGTGTAGGAAAATATGAGGTACTTAAATCTGGGTTGACTTCACAATGTAATAGTTACTTAAAATAATATACATGAAGTCTTTTAAATATGTAAAAGGATTTGTAATGGTCTGATAGAAATTATACACTTGGGCAACGAACATACACTTGTTTGAGCTAGAATAGGAATATGGCAACAGAATAGAGAAGGGTAAAGCAACTAGGATAGATGGAAGGAATGTTGACCTTCCCTGGCGGCAAGGCCAAGCTTCGCTCGCATCACCTCCAGCGACGAATAATCTGGCAGCTTGAGGTAGTTCACACACGTCATCACAGAGGGCAGAAAGTCATCAGGATTCATGTTTGGTTCCAGTGTTTTCCGGACGACTGTTAGAGGAGGCGACAGACTTTTGAAGCCTGAATAACAGAGACATTATTAGCATCATGCAGGGTTATAACAATTAATTCATAAATGTAAAATGTAACACTACACATCTGTTCTGAGAGAGAAAGAGAAAAAAGTTAGAATACAATGATGTGTATGTTTCGATTAATGAATGAGAGTAGATGGAATGTAATACAAAATCAAAATATCTGGTTGAAGAATAGGTATGAACTCCATACACTAGACTGCCACAGAAGCTGACAGTCACTCGACTAGTCAAGGAAAGATACAAATTTCTTTACGCACTTTGTTGCAAAAAATTAAATTCTCTTTTACTATATCTTTTTTAAAAAGTAAATTTTCAAGATTATTGCAGTTCATTATAACATTTCCTGCATTGCAAATAAATTCATATCTCTCACACACCCAACCATGAAGTGAATTCATTAACATAGTGCAATCAGTGTATAACAAATTTCTATGGACTGATAAATTGCATTCATTACAAAGAAATTTTGGTGTAATGAATGGCAACAGAGAAAGATTAGTAACTAAAGTTCAACTTTTATAAAGATCAATGCATTTTAGTCAAATATGTGACACATCGCTGATTCATAATGATGTTGGAAAGTGCAAAACAACTGTTCATATGAAGATTTCTGTCTTCTGGGTTGTTGCACTGTGTAGTCTGGTAGATGTTTACCAACGTTTCATCGCCCTGATGATGGAGGCAGTATGACCTCTGAAACGTTGGTAAACATCTACCATACTACACAGCGCAACAACCCAGAAGACAGAAATTTTCATACTCACTGCTGTGAAAACCTCAAATCATACAACTGTTCATATGATCACACTATTACAACATAAACTGCAGTGATCAAACAATCATGCAACCCATTCTTGACACGTTCTATTTATCAAAAAATAAATTGCACTGGAATCAGAAAACAAAAATCAATGTTATATTAAGTGCTCGAAATGTCCATCGTTTTCAGCGGTCCAAGCATCCGCACTTTCCCTCATGTCTAATGCAACCTAGTGAAGAGATTGTGCAGTGACTTTTGAAATGCATAGCTCAGGATTCTGTTTTATTCTTCTAATGTGTGGGGGTTGTTTTTTTTACATGTTCTTCTTCAAAACTCCCCAAAGATAGAAATGCAGTGGTGACAGATCTGGGGACTGAGCCGGCCACACGTTTGTTCAACATCTGCACTGTTGAATTTGTTGTATGTGTCATAGCCCAATCTTGCTGAAACCAGCAGTCTCCTTCATCACTTCCAAAAGGGAAATGAAACATATAATCAGTTCCTCGTTACATTCAGCTGTTATCAATTCAACTGAAGAAAATGAGACCAATTATTCTGTCAAGAGACAGCACACCATACTCTGACTTTTGAGTGCAAAGGTCTTTCACGAAAGGTTTTCAGCACAACATATCCTGCCGTTTTGGCTGTTAATGTATCCACTTGGGCGGATCCACGATTCGTTACTAAATAAAACTCTCTAAAATGTCTATACCCCCTCGAATGAAGTTTTAAGATTCCTGTAACATTATGTACACTTCCATACGATAATCCACTCTTAAGAGAAAGTTTTCTCAGTGACACTTGTGGAGGGCATAAGAAAGTTTGATGAATATAATCCAAACCATCATCAAACGCCAAAGATTGACAGCACCAGTTTCTGTCCTGTACACTCCCTGAGTCACAGAAATGGTTCACCAGAAAAATATGTTGATCTGTGTTTGGCATGGGAGAATTGGGAAATGTATCCCTAAACTCGTTCTGGCAAGTTAAATAAGAACAAGATGCCAGGTAGTGTTTGACGATGAACACCTGTTGCAATTGTGAAAAAGACATCCTTGCACTTCGACTGTTGAAACACAACTGAAGGACTGGTGCAATCAAGTTACAACAAGGGCTCTTGTATAGTCACAGTGATCCTGTGTTTCTTAATCTAACTGAATTGTATTGAACTGCAATCATCAATAAATATTCTAATAATTATTATTGCTCAATGACGTGCATGTCTGAGGCAACATTTTTGTTATACTACTGAGTGATACATATCACCTATCATTTGGAGGGGTTGGTTTGTAGTGGCTTATTGCATCATCTAGTGAAACATTTTGTTTACTGGGCATCACAGTAGGTAGTAATTTGGCTGCTTATCAACAACAAAATATTAAGTTGGTGTAAACTGCAGAACATTCGGTATGCAACGATTGCCTCTTTTACCAGCATTTTAAAGAAATGTGAATTTTATTTCTGCAGTAAAATGTACGATCAATATGAGATTGCATAACAGCAATGATACACACGCGTAATGAAAATGCAACAACAGAAACAGCAGGCACAGAAGAAAAGTTATCATTTACTTATCCTTACTCTCTGACAACAGCAATGTGCAAATTTGTAAGAAATTCCAGATTTGCACAACTTCAGAGAATTCATCTAATATTACAAACACAGCTAGACTTCACTAACCTCCAACAGGCAGCCTCGGAGAGCCAGTGACAAACTGGACAAACTGCCTTTGTTCTTCCCGGTCATACAGACTAAGGATCTCAAAAAGAAAGCGTATGGCACGTGAATCAGGCGTGTATCCATGATCGGGACGGCAACACTCCATTAATGTTTTGGCATCCCAGCTACCTCCACTTCCCCCTGCCATCATTCCACCACCACAGAAAACAGCCTCCAATTCCTCTGGGTAGAACATTTGCAGTTGTGACAATGGGAAGACAGTCTCAAAACCTTCACGAAATGCTTCCATCTGACGTGATATGCCTTCCATCAGAAACCAATGGCACACCAACTAATTTTGAAAACAAAATAAAATATGCAGACATTATCACAAATCACACTCTGATTTTTCCATTAACAATTCTGGTAAAAATAAATAATAATAACTTAAATTTACTGATAACATTTTATCAGAAACATATAATAGCCTTTGCACACCCAGCTGGTTAAACAAATACAATTCGGACATCGTAGTTCCCACAGGATTAATTATGCTACTTTCAACATAAAACGAGGGAGGTAGGAACACATACATACCAGAATAAGTATGTAATACTCGTACAAAAAAATAAAATAAAAAAATAAAATAGTGCCAGTTTTATAAGTGCCTCGATACATGCAGTGGAGTCAGAAATTAAATTCCTTTCAGTATAAAGACAGTGAAACAATTTTTACCCCAACAAGACACAGAAATCTTGATGAAACAACAAGGAAAACAAAAGTGTGGATTTTATGAAAGGGGGTGATGATACAAGAGGGGCATTTCTGAAGCGTCCTTAGATATTTGTCTGATTTTGATGTTTTTTGGAATGACATAAACATAACAGTTTCTTGGAAAGAACTTTTTTAAATATTCCAAATCTTTTATAAATTACTGGGGGATGTTACTAAGAAAACTCACCCCTTAAACTTAAAGTGGATGATTAAATTAAAAATTAATCTCTGGCAATCTGAGAAGCTTATAAAAGCATATCAAACACATATTTATTCTTATTTTCCAAGTGTATAGAACTTTGAATAATGTCATTATGTAATGGGACTCCTTTCTGCCCTTTCTCTCAGCCACCCCAAACACTACAAAGAAAATGTGCTATAAGGCCACAAAGATTATTCTGAGCATTATTTGTACACACCCTGACTTCATTAATAACAGTAGTTCGAATATACAGTAGAAATTTGTTGTAATGAGAAACTATAAAAATGTGAAAAATTTACACTAAAATGAATATTTGTTACAGGCAATTTTTAACTTGGAAATATATAAATCACTCAGAAAATTAAACTCCTTATATTTTCAGTTATCTCATTCTAACTAATGAAAATTCAAGAGCATGAAATGGGAATAGTTCTTAGGTAGTCTTCAAGCAAAAGTATGAGCAAAGAACAGTGAATGTCATATTTCTCCTAGAATGTAGGCAACATGTTTGACCAAAGTCATTGTGGCACAACGGTGGGGCTGAGGTAATTGTTGGACAATAATCTCAGATAGTATTAGTGCAACAATGCTGTTCTTCATGCCACATCATTCCAATCTCGTTCTGTAACATATTCTGTAAATTGCACGTGAATTATGTTGTCAGATTTGAATTCAGTACAGAAACGAAAAAGTCATTCAAGTTTAAATCCCATCAAATCCAGTGGCGCTACAGTCCAAGTTCGGGCCTTGGCCTCCTCCCATGTGGGAGGTTTCTTGGTCTTGAAGTGTGCATTTATGAGTAGTGAGTGACCAGCCCACTGCCTCTGCACAATTTTTACTCAATCCTGATTTGTCTGCCAGAGCCATCTAGTAGAGAATCAGGAGAGACTTGGGTGAGAAATGGACGCTGAATTTTGCTTATGAAACACCTCGTTCGTGCTCGTAAGTTTCTTTTACATGATGAATAGTCATGCTTCAAATACACGGTTAAACAAGTCCAGGAATAAGAGAAGAGCATTCTCTACAGCAGAAAATTTTGACAAACATACTCATTAAAATGGAAGAATATTGATAGGCTTAACATAATTAGACTGAAGATGTTATGAGGTTACACTCTACACAAAACTTCTACTGTATATAAAGTCTTTTTCTCTCGACATACCCACAGTGCACTAACCTTTGTGTACTGATCTATGTTATGCACAGAGAGGGAGAAGTCCCTGCCTCCCTTGCGGAGCTCTATGCTTGCATACCCAGGCAATGTGAAGTCAAGGCCAAGGTCCTGTATGGCACAACCATCCAGGTCTAATTTCTCAGCCCATTTCTTACGCTGACTAGCAGTCAGATCAGGATCATTGTCAATCTGATCTTTGAGGCGCTGAACAAGCTGAAGTTTACACAATGTGCGATGCACTTCTGGGCACACAAGTGCCAAGTCTGGAAGAGACAGAGTGGACTCTTGGCCCAGCAACCACCGGTAGAACACTACACTGAATGGTAAGTCAAGCTGTAACACAAAGTTACTTTATTGTAGAGAATAGCTAATAAATGAAAGCCTAATACACATTTAACTGCCCTGTTTATATTTACAATTTGAACACACAAGTGCATTTCAATATTTTAATTAAAGATTGTAATATTCCTAAATAATGAAGCATTTGTAAAGCTTCACACCTGTGCATTAAATACAGGACACACATCAATTAATCACCACAAAAACATACCTTCTGGTACCTTCTACATGGTAAGAATGTTGAACAGAGATATGTAAAAAGCAGTAACTGCTAACATTCGAAGGACATGTCAAGAAACAAATTAGCTTCCAAAACATGACAAAGCTGCTTGAAAGAAGCCAAACTGAGCACATCAGTGCATACATCAATATGACAAGCCATAGGCCCATACTGTACTTTCGTTAATGCACTTACCATCCGAGAGTCCATTACAGCTTTAGCCATGAATTTTCCAAGAAAGCGGAATTTACTTTTAACTTTGGCAACATGATTTGACTTGGCTGTACGCCCAAGTGGGGAAGGGAAAAGGCCAACTGCAGAATGAATGTAGCTTGTAGGTACTCCTGTTGCACCAGTGTTTTGTGGAGTGGAACGTTCACCATGCCACAGATCCAGGTCTGCACGCTGCATCTCCCGTGAAACTAAGGCATAGAACTCCAGGGTCGGACCTAAGCCAGTCCCAACCTGACACCAAACAATGAATTCAAAATAAAGTGTAAGACAACATTTCATGTGTCTGCTTAACGAGTTAGAGGAGCTTCTGAAATACAGAAACAAGGTGATGAAAGATCCTCAGGCTACAAGCCACATCAGGGGGCTGAATGGTGAACAAATGATATCTCTTGAAAACATCGAAACATTGTCATCGTATGGTGTTCAAAAGAACACAATGATTTGGAAACTGTATTTTTCCATACTCAGGTGAAAATAGAAGAAGAACCTACTAAGTAAGACCTGAACCTGTTCCAGTGACTGAGGGTAGCTCTTTTTAGCAGCCCCAACTTAGTAGGTGCTACTTCTCTTTACACCTGAGGACAAAATCATCCAGTTTCTGAAACGCTGTATTCTACTGAATAGCAGACATTGGACAAGTCCAAGAATTTAATAATCCCAAGTGTAATACACCATTGTCAGAACCCTTTAAAACTGACACAGACAAATTATATAATGAAATAAAGTAATTACTACTGCACCTCGTCATGGTACTGGACTTCTAACAAGGCCCTTGATGTAGCGAGTTCTTGCATCAAATGTTCAGCCTGTTTAAGAATATCATCTCGAGAAATGACACGTTTTCGCCTGTCCAGCCTTGGTGTTACCCGTTCTGTTGAGTCTGAACTGCTCAGCTCTGGTGTTGATTCTAATAACCGCTGAAGAGCACGATCTCGGTCAAAGGATGTCGCATAAAACAGCAGCTGACGAGTCTCAAATGGAAAGAGGAAAGGGCTGAAATTTCATAAAACATATCACTGTAAGAAAGAGAATGCATTCTTACAATAGCATTTTAAAAACATGTTTTGTTTATGTGTGATGCCCATCTGCTGACAAAGTATATTCATATCTTAAGCTATCACCGTGACTGAATGCAATAAAGTCTTCTTGGGTGATTGATAGTGTGTTTCAAATTGGTTTCCAACTTTACAAAGACTGTTCTGCCTCCATCGTCAGGTACTGATGGAGAACATCTCCGAACGAGACTAATTCTATATTGGTTTTTTTGTACAACACTTTTCATACAATCTGTTCATTGTCAATTTACATGGACAGCATGTTTCATTCCAATGTGGCCTTCATCAGGTTCAATTCCCTGCTTTTATGTCACTGCACTGAGGATTTCCTCCTAATGTTCAGAAATCACTATACTGAATGTTGGACTGAACTAATGAGTTTTACAATTACAAACACTTTGAACATTATGTATCATCCTAATTTTAATTAAAACTACTTGTGGGGACTGGAACCTATCTCCATCCTTAGGTAAGACCCACTCTGTTGGGCCCAATTAACAGAGCTAGACCCAATCTGCAGAATATAATTTTTTAAATCAAAATTAGGACAATAATGTCCAAAATGTTTTTAACTGTAGTAATACAGTGAAACCTCTATCCATCGTTCCCGGAACTATCGTTTTCCCGGATGCATCGTCCGTTTTGTTCGGTCCCGGATACATCCCATATAAAATAATGTAACATTTTCCCGCTTCTATCGTTCCTCAAACTATCGTTTTATCGCTTCGATTGTTCAAAAATCTTAGTCCCGGCCCACAATTTTCCCGCAATGATCGTTTCTGAGAAATTAAAATGCTGGGTTTTGAGATAAATTAATACCGAAAGACGCACAATGTTTTTGGAATACGCAGTAGCGGTAACCTGTTATGTCGCCCAACCAGTACAGATTCTTTTGGAATGAGGGGTCAGCGGTGCAGGGGTGATAGTTGGAGTGAATGGCGGTGCTCATTGTCAGAAATTTTATGAGTTTAATTAGGGAGCACTCATATTTCCTTCCAGCGATGCCAGATGGCATGTGCAGTGTGAATTTCTTCACAAATGCTTTTATTATAAGTACAAAGGAAAGGCGGACGACACTTTTCATTCTTCTGGTTCATCTCGTTTCCAGTGATTCAGTGTCTTCTACAGCTACGTTTCATTGAGTTCGGCAGTAATAGTATTTCCATTCTTCCTGATATTGTTTGCGAAGGGTGAGGAAGAGGAAGACTATGAATGCGAGCCCGAAGCTGTTCCGAGTTTTGCCGAAGCACATGCTGCATTGGCAAAAGTGAAGTCGTTCTTTTATGCGCATAATATTAGTGAACGTGACGAGGAAAATATTTTGTACGTGGAAAGGGCTCTGTTTGGCCTAAAACGTAAAGTTTCGACAAACCAGTTGTCCATTAAAGACTTTTTTGGTAAAAAGAAGTAACTTTGAAAGGAAAAAAAATTGTTTTTTTAAAATTTTTAATGCTTTCCCGCAACTATCGTTTTCCCGTATTCATCGTTTTTATTTCCCACCCCTGCCGAAAACGATGCATCGAGGTTTCACTGTAAACCATCATCATGAACCTTCAGATTTAAAGAATAGTATTTTTAATTTATGCATACAAATTTAAGAATTACACAATTATATAAAGAGATATGAGCAGTAAGTCTTCAAATCAAAAAATAATCATTATTTGCAAGAATATATATCCAGGAATCACATTCTAGCTCTTCAGCTCAGAGGCAGTTACAGCTGTGAAAGACTTTGCTTATGAAACTGAAGGAGAGCTTTTCTCCACATCCAGACAAACACACTGTAAAATTACAATGTAACGTACTCACCACACAGCAGCTATCTGTTGGAGCCATGACGGCAAATTACCCGTCATGATAACGAGAGGATCTTGAAGCTGTCGACTTGCTTTTGCAGCAACCTTGCTGTTCACAAAATCCTACAAATAATGAAATCTATGTCAAGTTGTTCCTATTTTCTTTATGGCTCAGCATCCTCATGCTTTGGTTAAGCAATGATGATTAATAATGGAGAAGTCATAACAAGGAAGTGTGATGAAGTGGAGACATAGCAGATTGTAACCCATTAATAAATACTGAAACAGTAAGCAGAGCCAACTCCCAAAATGTTGTGTATATTAAATATATCTCAGACAATGGACAATGTCCAATGTAATTTTTTCATAGTGAAAGACATGTTGCAGGGAAGAGAGAGACAAGAAATTCATACCTTTCTTGACAGGATTTATAGCACCATGCCATTACTTCTGACAGTGTAGGACACATCATGTGTGCCTTCCTCCAATTAAATGACAGAAACTGATTATTTGTTCCCAGAGGAAACAGCCGATAAAACATTAGCCTGATAAAACAAGATGAAGATTACGACGGCATGGTAAATGAGAATATAATGATGCGAGTTGTGTGTATGCTAAATATAACACTGAATAAACATTTTGCAGTTGTCACAATCTTTCAAAAATAGGGTAAGCTTCAAGAACACATTAAAAAAAAATCCGTGGCATAACAGCTCCAGAGAGCCAAAGCCGACTAGCTTGACTGCTGGCCTCACGTTCACATGCCTAAGCAGAGGTGAACGATCACTCGAACCACCGCACATTCCGTATCGCCGGTCCGAAGCATGATGCCTCAGACCACGCGGCTATGGTGCGGGACTACTGTAACCCATACTTACCTTAAATTTCATTTAGCTGTCAAGTGTCCAAAGGATTGAGCTCACTTGCACAGCAAAGGGCCATTCACTGGAATGATTTTTGATTGCGCATCCAGAAACCACCTGTGTACAGTGTTCACAGTATGAATATTTTTCCTCTGTTGTCCATTTGCATTGGAATCAATGCTGTTCACAATTTTCTCTCTGACTTTCAGAAATGCAGGCATTGTTGATGGGCTGATTCCATATTTTTGTGCAATGTAGCCTTTTTTCATTCCTCTGTCTCTTCTAACATGGATTGAAACTGCTTTGATTGCTGGATGCTGCTGTTGCTTACAGTGCAGTGACACCAGTGACTTTATAATCACTCCAAATCTGCAGCTACACATTTCTCAAAATTTGAAAATCCTCTCCGCACTCCTCCCACTTTACCAGTAACCATACATACCACATAAACACAGTGCTATAAACAGTTCCTTCCGGGACAGGCAGATACATCAGCTCAAAAGGTGCATTTACATTTGTTGGTTCTAGTTGCATGCCCATTGAACAGCTAGCCAAATAAAAAGTTTTAAGTATTTACAGTGTTGCCTTTCCTTTCAACTGAGTTCTGCAGAAGAGGGCAGTATTATCCATTACCCTCTACAAAGCATGAACATCCTTGCTAAGTTACTGTTACTTATATACAGTGAAACCTCTATCCATCGTTCCCGGAACTATCGTTTTCCCGGATGCATCGTCCGTTTTGTTCGGTCCCGGATACATCCCATATAAAATAATGTTACATTTTCCCGCTTCTATCGTTCCTCGAACTATCGTTTTATCGCATCGATCGTTCAAAAATCTTAGTCCCGGCCCACAATTTTCCCGCAATGATCGTTCCTGAGAATTTAAAATGCTGGGTTTAGAGATAAATTAATACCGAAAGACGCACAATGTTTTTGGAATAAACAGTAGCGGTAACCTGTTATGTCGCCCAACCAGCACAGATTCTTTTGGAATGAGGGGTCAGCGGTGCAGGGGTGATAGTTGGAGTGAATGGCGGTGCCCATTGTCAGAAATTTTACGATTTTAATTTGGGTGCACTCATATTTCGTTCCAGCGATGCCAGATGGCATGTGCAGTGTGAATTT